AACTAAAATAATCTCAGTGGTAGATGGGGAAATTACAAGGGTATTTATTGGTTTTACAAAATACTAAAGTTGCGAAAAATGAAATGACCTAAACAGACTACAGATACACAGTCATCAATTACCAATCTAATACTTATCTGAATGAATGTTCATCCAACCGCATATCCTCCAGCAGATTCAGATTCCACAATTTCAATATTTCGTGCTTTAATTCCACCTCGAACCAATATTTTTGGGCCTAATATTAGTGTAACTGCATAAGTAAATATATTAACTGTAAAAATGTATAAATTGCCTGGAAGGAAACAAGAAGGCTGCAATAGAAGTCAGATCATTTGTTAATTTCCGACAGAATAAATAATATTTGTGAAACAGTCGAAACGAACGCTCATATGTAGAAAATCGCATACATTTGAAGTCTACACAGAATGTAAGTTTTAAAGCACTAACAGCAATTATACGCTGCTCATCGTATGCACCCAGTAGTAATTACGAGTTTGGGGGATATATTTGAATTACATACAAAGAAATGATTATAATACTTGTTTTGGCCTAGATTGCATCCTACCCCGCTCTGCGCCTGAGCACTTCAGGCCGTAAATGAATTTACAGTTCCCTTGTTGTTCCGTGATCGCTTCCTTCTACTACACTCTCGTGATTCTGATTCCAATTCGCAGACATATTGAATCAACAATTGTAAGCTTAAACCTAGGCCTAACTGATTTAGTATAGCTTTAAAAACTAGAAAGACGGTTCTAGAAGAAAGATGCTGAAATATATAAAGGGACGAACATAACACATGAATAACAAATTAAAAACCACTGAAATGACAAAAAAAATCTAGCACATAATGTCACCTGTACTATGTCCGGAACATCTCAACACAATCGAATCTTTGTTCAGTTTTTAATTCATCAACGATGAAATTGAAATGATCCAAACATCTTCAATTCAACACAAATACACGCTCAATATCAATCTAGTGATTTAGCGTGTTTTTTCCGCCCCAGCAGTTCCCGATGTCAACACTCGCAGCTTGTTTACATCCCATCAATTTGCATAAACACGATCTTGAATATATATCATATAGCTAAGATGCAATATATAGGCTGAAAAAGCTAACGCAATCTAGAACAGAAATAGAGTAATTCGTATACATAAATTTTCCCAATGTAAATTTATTTACTAAGTTTCTTGTTATCGTCTTGTTATCGATCGCTTTCATTTGTTTTCGTCTTCGTCTTTAATTCATCATTCGCACACCATGAATCACTTAGTACTAGTCTATGGCCTAACTGAAAAAAATAACGTTATCTCTAATAATCATTGAAGCTTCCGGGTTAGATTCATCTCACCAATTTCAGCAGAACTTGTGATTTTAATTCCATTTTGTAGACATTTGAATCAATAATTTTAGGTTTAAGTTTAGTTTAACTGCATTAGTATAGCTATAAAAAATCTAAGAAATGGACTGAAAATACAAGCGTTTGATTGTAAGACTATTAGCGACACAAGGTCGCATATAAACCATTAAATTTACAAAAATAAAACAAGTGCTCACCTGACGGCGTCAAATTTGAAAAGACCGCCTCAGCGCAGACAATTTTTAACGTGGCGAAAAAGAAAGGTAGGGTGTAATAAAGAAACAAATACGGCGGAGGAGACCGTAGAATGAAGATGCTTTTTTATTGGTTATCAGGAACCACATGACCATGTGACGTCAGAAAAAAACGAGACGCGAGAAAAACGATGGAACATGCGTTTTGTGCATAAACTTTCCACCACCTATATGTCCTTATATAGTATAGACCTGTCGTTCTCAAACGGTGGGCGCGTCCCACAAGTGTGGGCGTAGACAATTTTTGAGGGGGCGTGAAGACCAATTAAAAACAATTGTTAGATTTGATCTTGACCGCGTTATTTGGAATTTCGCGAGACTCGACAAATTCTAAAAATGGGGCGCGACTTAAAAAGTTTGAGAATTACTGCTCTGGACAATATTTGGACCTCCCTGAAGTATGCGCACCAAGATGGCGCACAACCTGAACTCAGGTTGGTGTACCAGGTTAGGGTTCAGGTTGTGAGACATCTTGTTGCGCATACTTCAGGGGTAACCAATATTTAATATGCCACATTACTGCATTCTGCGCAACCCGATTTTTGTAGTGCTCACTCAAAATGTGGCACAACCCGATTTTGCAAGTAACTTAACTCGCGATCTATCCAGAATACCACTGAGTTAGAGGAACTGAGAACCGAGTTCCTTGTTGATATCTCAGGCCTAATCAAAATATCTATCACTCGTTGTGATTTCAAACTCCCAATTTTTGCATGACTACAAAAATAATAAAATTTTGCAAATTCCTGAAATGTACAACACATTGTGAACTGTCCGCTACCTTTTATTGGTTATTAGAAATCACATGACCAGGTGACGCCAGAAAAAGACAAAACAATAGAAAAGTGATAGAACATGCCTTTTGTCAAATTAACTTTTTACCACTATAGCCCTTATAATAATCTAGAATCTAGATTCTAGACAATATCTGATATGCGACATTATTGTGGAAAAGAAGAATTGGCAGAAAGACAGTTTACCGACGTTATCTTGTCGATCGCCTAAATAAAAACATTCAGCGATAATAACAAAATCCGCCGACTTTTTCGGTCTCATTGTAATTTTTTTACAATGCCTATTCACACTTGTCTCTTCGAACAAAGCCCCATGCAATCGGTCACTGATATCTCGCAATATACTAGAAATTACTCTCAATTGAGTTGTAATTTAATTTCCGAATCGAGCATCGACCCGTAGCGCCCCGGTATCAACTCGATTGTAGATTGGAAGTATTCCGTATTCGTTAAAAATATTCGAAATATTGAATAATAATATTCAATTTGGTTCACCCCTGATTATTTTCTTCGTAGGTTGAAGGCATATTCAAGACGATGTGACAAGTTGTGGCGTTCTATCAACACCAAGGGGAAAGGGTTTCTCAGGAGAAAATGATTGCGGCCTCCAAAAAGTTTCAGATTCGACTTTTAACCCGCGACCAGCCTAAGGTTGTCGACCCCTGAACGATAGTCGTCGACTTCAGTGAAATAAAAAAAAATTTCCTAATTTGGAATTTTTAACGTACGAGCCCAAAGAGTTACCTGACCTATAGCGTCCTGAATCCACATTTATTTTACTAAGCTGCAGTATTTTTAGGCTTAGCAAAGCGCTGAAAAAAGTTAGGTACTCCCGTGGTATGTGTACCAGGTTAGGGTTAGGCCATAATTTTATTCCGATTTTTCTTGTTTAAGTTCTATTACGAGTTCGGGGACTGTTGTTTGCGTTAGTCAAGCCACAACTTGATTTAAAGTAGGCGAACAAAATTAGTTACCTCCATATTGGTACACACACTTCTGGAGCGCCAAAATTTGTGCTATATCAAACGATATTTCCCGATATTTACGATAGGTATTTAATTTATCTCGTTTGGGCTTTTTTGTGATTAATGTCGGACTAGGGTCCATCAGTCCAAAACAAAGTAATGGGAGTCGGTTTATCTGCATCAAACTGAAACCGTACGTCGATTAGGCACGTAATGATTTTACGCATCCACACAACGGAAGCTGTTACGTGACACAATCATTATGTATGTTTATTTTTTATGAGCACTTTTTAATATGAGCAACTTATACGTTTTAAATGGTCATGATCACATTTATATGTGTAAATATACACTAGAAAATAAACAAGATATCATGAAAAAAATCAAGCAACATGTCTTAGCTATGAAAAACATTTTTTTTTCGAGCGTAAAAATAAATATGTAAATTTTTCTTTATCCTTGCTCGGTTCAAACGAGGTTATAACAAGATTCCTTAACAATCGAACAAGAATTTGCTTGTAAAACAAAACTAAACTGAAGATTCAATTGGCTAAGCTTTTTCCGCAATATATTTGCTGGTTTTGTGAACAAACTTATCAATTGCTTCTTACGCAACATAATCACGAACAAAGGATTTCAAACACTTAAAATAAACAAACAAGTTACAAACAAATGGGCTTTTCCGAGTCACCATGCTCAGGTGTCTTCCTGTTTGGTTTAGGCTTGACTCGGAAATGAATCATGTTGTATTTCGTTCACAACTAACAACGTAACGCTTTAGGATTCACTGAAGCCATGTAAGTTTATGTTTACTTAAAGTAGATACTGTATTTTGAAATGCAAATTATTCGAAAATAAAAATGGCGGAGTGTTATTATTACATGATTTTTTTTTGATTAATCGTTCTTGGATCAATATTTATGTTAAAAAGAAAATGTATGGATTTCAAGTAATGCATAATTACGAATTGTTTGCTAAAACATAAAAGAGAAGATCTTTCAACTTTCTCAATTTAAAAACAAATTTCACCACTTTTGCACTATTTTTAAAATAATCATTTTCTTGTACTCATAGTTTTGAATATTTATATTTTAGAATTTTAGTATTGAGTTTATTTGATGTTCATCCTTTATCTTTGTCGAGTCATTTTTGTTGTTGTTATTATTCGAAATACAAAGCCTTTTGCAAAATAGCATCTCGTGCTAAGCTTTAGAAAATATGTCACTCAAATGTGATGAAAAAACAAAATTTCTTGGGTCAATATATAAGAATAGTGTGGCTTTACAAAATTAAATGTGTATCTCTATGATTTACCCAGCTGCGTGACATGATCAGAAGCATCATGTTTATATTTAGCATAAATCGTTTAATCAATTGAAGATTGTCAATTAATGAATCTTCATTAAGTAAGGTGATTAACGTCCTTTTAACAAGATGATGAACAGTTTAAAGTTGACATTACGCAAGTTGTATCACGTGTTGCAATGCTGTACAGAACGAAGTCTTGTTTTTTTCTTTTTGATAATGTAAACAAAACCGTTTTGGGACTGAATATACACAACATGTCGTCATGCTCGTTCAGTTTTGTAATTTCCTAAACACACGTCACTTGTTTTTAGTATTTTTAACATAAAAAGGCTCGGTTATGATTGCTAGACATCACATTTACAATCTAACCTTGTAAGACAACTACATCCAAAATGAACTGTCTTGTATCCGTTCTAGTTCTTGCTGCCTTGGCTGCTTATGGAAATGCTGAGTGTGTGGACAAAGCAATTCAACCTGGAATTGATTTCACTAGGGTAAGCAAAATTGTAACTTGCAGGAACTTTTTTTATTCCAAAAAGAGAACAAGAAATAATGGTTATAATATAACAAACGTGTGAAACTGCCAAGCAAAGGTGGATCACAGACATTGCGTTCAAATTGCTATCGTAGGTATTTCCCGATATTTCCCGAATCCCAATTTTTCGTGAAACTTTCTGCACTTGAATAAAAGTCTAATGTAGCTGTTGACTTCTGTTTATTCGGAATTACATTCTATATTTGCAGCTCGGAGGCGTGTGGCATCAATATAGATACACCCCTGACACACATTATGAGGACATGAACTGCTACACTATTGAAATTACAGACATCAACAAACAAACTAAGACTTTTGTTATGAAGTCATTGTTTCGAATGTAAGTACAATGGAATTTTTTACATCTCTAGATTGAAGGTATTAGTTTAGTATGCACTTGATTTTACTATATTGTTAGTAGTTCAATAACAGATTCGTGTATAAAATATTTCATCTATATGTCCAAAGGTAGTTTTTGAAATCAACAAAAAATCTGTTTTTACTCGTTTTGATATTAAAGTCAAATATATATTAGGTGCACACTTTATTATTTGTGTGTTTTCATTCTGACAGAGCAAAAAAATCGATCAAGAAAAATCTATCACATAAAGCCTTCTCTGACTTTATCGAGTTCGACGTCAATGCCAACTTCGGTGAACGTGTAGAAGGTAAGAAAGGTTTTTGTTAAGCATTTTCCTATGCCTAAACCCTATTATATTCAGTGAAGTGGTCAAAACCTAATTTCCTGGTGTGTTGAAATTACTGAAAAAATCCACAACAACAATAAGGAAAGACACCCACAACAACAACAACAATAAATTACCAAAATGATCCATAGGTCAATTTCGTGTCCAATAACAATAGTATTGAGAGTGGCGTTGAAGCTGTTATGTTACTCAATTCAATTCATAAAATAGCTTAGTTTGAAACAAATGTATTGCCTGTTGAAGCGTTACCGCATTACATCACTTATAAACGCTGTCTCGTTTTTAGGTAAACCCTTCATCGGCGACCATGTTGCTACTGACTACACAAATTATATCCTCTTCTACAATTGTGAAAAATCAGGTTTGTAATGAAGTTGAAATTTTTATATTCTTTTGATTACATGATAAATATTCCTTAATTCTTATGATTTATTTTGCTTGATCAAGCAAGGTTATGAATTATATTTTTACTTGAATACGAGATCAATCCTCTGTAACTTCATAATTATTGATCATAAAAATCCATTTTTATCTTTTTTTCGCAGGTAAGGCAACAGTTGACATTGAAATCCGCCAAGGCTTAACAAGCCTATCTGCAGCAGTTATCGAAGAAGTGCAAACTGTACTTAATGATTTCGGTGTCGACTATTTTGATCTGACCGTAGTAAACCAGTCAACTTGTCCATACCCAAGCGGAGAATAAGATTCAATTGAAAAAGTTTTTCACGATGAAACGTAGTGCTGTTATTGAATTTCATTGATTGGTTCATATTTGAAACAGTTTTCATGTCCAAAATGTTTATAGTTCAACAATGCTGATAATATTTTAATGTTGTTGTAAAATTTGAAAACAAAAATTGTTGTCAAAAAAATATACCATAACTGTGTAAAAGAATCTGATGTTATTCAATATTTTGTGTGGGAAAGGGAAAAGTCCAAGTTTAGACAGGATAGATGTATATTCAGTTAAATTTTTACATAACGCGTGGAATTTTTTGTCGACTGATCATAAAGTTCTAACATCAGTGATTCACAAGCGTCTTATGGCTCGTGGGCTGTCTTTACGGAGGCCTTTGAGTACTCATGGCTCTCTGTTTATCATTTCAGTGGTATTTATAGTGTTATTTTGACTGGTATGAACAAGAAAGTGAAAACAGCCCTTGGAATATTCTTACCAAGCATAAAACTGAAAAAAGGGGTAGTTTTCTCGTAAAGAAAAAAGTAAAATCAGTTTTGCGCTTGCCATTTTGGGCCCCGTCCCACTTTTCTGTGGTCTCCTATGGGGGGCACGGTCCGCCGGTTGGGAACCGCTGTCTTATAACCTCACCGTATCGATAGGACATGCAAATATAGAGTTGAAGAAGAGAACTATGTCTATGTATATTTACAGTAGAAGTGGTTTCGGTTTATCGAGCTTTTAGAAACAGACGTTCGCTCGCCCTACCGCAATAAATTGTATAAAACTGCGGACTCGCTGGTTCGCCTATCCGACAGTCCTTCCACTTCTGAGTTACGATACAGTGGTTTCACAATTAAATTTTAAAACAATTTTCTCCGTCATTTTATGTTTTTATTCAAGTTCGATATTTATCATTGTCAAAATATAACAGAACACGTTTAGAGAAGTTTGAATGAACGTCTGAAAATAAGCATCACTATTATTTAAAATATACTAACCATTTTAACGGGAACGTTTAAGTATTTATTTTCTTAATTAAACATATTAAATATTGCAAAACTGAGAGTTTCATTTCATTTATTATGATTATTTAATTCCTACCGCTCTTCAACAAGCGCACAAATTTCTATGTATATAGTTCTGGAGTTTTTAGCATAACTGAGCTTGAAACCCCTTTATTCTGGTATCTATGTTGTTGCAAGGCTGTGATGGTATTTTGGTACTCCCAAAGTATGTGAACCAAGATGGCGGACACCTAAACGTAGTGTGTGTACCAGGTTAGGGTTAGGCCATAATTTCAGGTACAAATACTACGGGAGCCACTTGGCTAGTCCCCGAACTCGTAATAGAAATAAAATAGGAAAATTGAAATATAATTATGGACTAACCCTAATCGGGTACACATACTACGTTCCGGTGTCCGCCATCTTAGTTCACATACTTTGGGGGTACCTGCTTTATTTATATATTGGGGATGGAAGCAAATTAACACAATGAACTCCATAACTAAGAACTGTTTCCAAATAATATTAAAATCGCGACGTAAACGTGTGGTTGTTTCCTCTCAAAATTGCCTTACTGCGGATGATCCTCCACAAGTAAGTTGATTATTAGTAATTTTCAAAAGTTTTATTTTGAATGCAAGTAATAGTTACGAAACGGTAAAATCTGGATTACCATACACCTAAATTTAATATACACCTAAATACACCTATAATTAAAAAAAATTTAAAAAATCCAATATAAAGTGTTACCAGGGACTTCGGAAAAGGCAATATTGATCAAATGATTTGGATTGTGCTCATGAACGAACATTATTACGTCAACGATTCAATTCTTTTAAACGAAGCTCATGATTAAAACAGATCTCAGACGTGACGACAAAATCAATGTAAAACTTGCGAGTTGAAAAACTATTTGCAAAATTTTTATTCCACTCCCTCCCTATTCAACCCGTTTGCTTTGTTCACCCCTGCTAAATTGTCATTAAAATTGGAGTGAACCATTTACCCGGCTGACCCTTTTTAACTATTTTTACTAAGTTACTCTTAAGAGGCTATAGACGTTCAATGTCAAACAAATGACATCTTATCAAAATGTTGAACTTGCTATAAAACAATACATTATAACTATATTCACGTTCGTTACCTTTTAACGTTTACCGAGTTACCGTTTACAATGATATTGTTTTAATGGGAAACGCACATAATCAATGTAAACGTACATGGTCGGTAAAATTCTGTCGGTCGTTGTTTCTCCGTCGATTTTACGAGCGACAAACCTGTGGCGTACTGTTTGTAAATAACAACGTCTTCTTGACAACAAAGACTACCTTATTTCTAAGGATTTATATTAATCAGTGACGTATACTGCGTCCGGTTTAGCGCCACAAAACATTAAACATGTATGAAATTTGAATAATTATTGAAGTGTGTTAAAAAGCTTCGCGTGAATCACAAATCTTGATATCCCGGTGCACTGGCGCGACCTTTATATATAAATATATATTAACGATCTTTCGCGAAAACAAATTCACGTACATTTTGGAGTTTTGACGTTTCAATAATGTAAACCAACAATCTTAATAAACAAGAAATAAATGCTCAAATTTCTGAAAACGAAAGCCAAAACTGAAAATTTTAAAACAATTGGTCTAGTAATCAAAGAGTAATGAGATTTGTTCACAACAACAGGAACAAGAATTCTAACAATAACATAACATGATACCAAAACGATTTAGGTCTACTTCGTGCGCAACAAAGTAGTGCGTTAGCTGCGTTCTATCCGGAGCCAGCAGTGCGATGTACTTTTCTCACGTTTCACGTCTTTACGCATTTTGCGTCACCGGTCACGTTAATTAAATCTAATTCGAGACGTTTAACGTAGCCGGGAGGCGTATACGTTTCAAAGATCAAATTTAAACACAATCGTTAGAATTAGTTATTTTAGTGAGCGGAAGTAAACCAAATACGGTATTAATAACAATTCATCAATTGAGGAATTTTATCATCGACAATTTTGAAAAACAAAAATATAAAAAATAGATTTTTTTTATTAGATTAATCATTGTTCAGGTCAGGAAGAACCATTAAGCAGTCAGACACCATAAATATTCTAAATATTTGACATTTTGGCGAAAGAATATAACGTGCACGTAGGTTGCGGATAAATGGATATTACGACCATTAATTGAGTCTGTGAATAGGGAAAACTAAATGACTTTGTAATCCCACTGATTGACGTCTGGGAACTAATTATTACTTAAAAATGACAACGTGACAAAACAATATTCTTTTCTCATTTCCATTTCATTTACCAACTTTTTATTTCTATCTATAAATGTCAAAAATGTTTATTGTTAAAATATCATGAGTCTATCTGCGTATGTTTTTACGTCAAAACTTACCTAATCTCACCCAATGGAATGTTGTCGTTTTGACAACAATGGCGTTCGGTTTATTAAAGTATTTTATGCAAATAAAATTTTATGGGTAGAATAATATTCAAACCGAGATTACTTGACTCCACTAATACTGTCAATCACATCGTCCAAGGCCAAGAGGCCAAATTCGTTAACATTGGGAATCAGTCTATTCATATCAAAATAATGGCAAATCTACACTCCTTAAGACAACCCCCCCCCCCCCCCAAAAAAAATTTACCAAAAAATTAAGCACTTAATTCACAAATATTATAATGTTTTAAATTGTTCTTATAAATACTTGAGCGCATCTCTTTGGGGGTCTTGTTTGTATTTTGTTTCATCAATATTTCAATGTCAAATTGAAAATGACGAACCAAAATATATTGCAATCTAGACTTTTTTTAATCTGATATGTTACTTGAAAATAAATGCTAACATTATATAAGAGATTAATGAGATTACAGATCAATTTCAATCTTTTTGTTTATTAAAAATATCATTGTTGAACGGATGGGAAGGAATTTCACTTTTACAAAAATAACTTTAATCGATGGAATTGCAAAAGCTCGCTAAGTGCCAGTTACCGTAGAAACCAGTCACTTTCCGGATCGACGTCATCACAGACGCCAACATTTCCTGGTTACACAGTATATAAGTCGACTAGCACTAACTGAGAGACACATATTCTCGAAATCTGCAACAAGAGTTCCAGTCTTCAATCGTTCCAAAAATCGACACTACAAATCAAAATGGCATTGGCTGTTTTTGTAGTTCTTATGTGCACAATCGGAGCAACTTTTGCTGGTGTATGTCGCGAAGTACATTTACAAGACAACCTAGACTTCCAAAGGGTAGGTGAAATTACTTCATTTATGTCATCGAGTCGTAACTTTTGAGGAGAACTAACATTTTACTTCAGAATATACGACAAATCGAGCTATAAAATTTATCAAATTCAAATAATTATAAGTTTATTTCGATTCCGTAATCAGCATAACAAAAAAATAAAATAAATAATACGAACTAAATTAATATGAGTGACTACAGGATCTGACATAAGTTCGATTAAAATTGTGCATTTTTATTCATTCGATTAGAGTATTGCATTTTTATGATGCGTTCCGCTATATATTACCCATAAAACTAGTTTATTGTACTTCGCTGATATATCTATTACTAATTTGATTTTTAGATTGGTGGAGACTGGTGGCAAGCATATTACTCAGCAGGTTCGATGTATGGCGAGGCATCTTGCTTAGACACTCGAGTTTTCGGAATCAACAAAAAACAGAAACTTTTTTACATGGAAACGAACGCTGCGATGTAAGTATTAAAATATGACAAAATTTTACAAAGAGAAGCTTAACAACTTCCTATGATTTCAAATATTTTCATATCTATTTTAGAGTGAATCCCTACACAGGCAGATCAGAAACTGGTACCGTACTTAGCACCGCATACTGGGGAGATAGACAAATGTTAGCTGGAGAGACTCATATCAAAAATCACGTTGCAACTGACTATTCTACTTACTTGCTATTCTACAAATGTTCAAACGGTAAGGGTAGATACATGTTTTAACATTTTTCAAAGATTGTCGTCACTCACTTACATGTATAAAATTTATCCCTATTTTTCAAATGAAGAAAGACACAAAAAACTAAAAAAAAATTAAATGAACAATATTTGAAAATATTTATATTTTATATAAAAAATATATATAAAATATTTAAAAATACATACACATGTGTCAGTGTTTGATATTAAGAAGCAACTTTTATTCACTTCAAGATATTTTTGAAAAACATTATTCTTTATTTTGCAGGTAAAGCAATTATCGATCTTGAATTGAAGAACGGCATCACAAGGCTGACAAGAAAGAAGATTGTTGAAGTATCCGATATTTTAGAAAGGGTTCATGTCGACTTTTCCTCCCTCGTTAAACGCGACAGGTCTTCCTGTCCTTACACAAAATAATTTTGATAACAAAAAAATTTTTCTTTCCTCGTTTTTATTTTGTAGATTGATTCATTGTCTTTATGTTAGAGAAAATGGGAAATCATAACAATATGAATACAATTTATTAAATTAGGTAATTCGAGGAACTCTACAATTTTCTTATAAATGTGTCTTCAAATTTTAGGTGTATGGCTTTGTACTATACGCTATGCTACTGAATTTGGGTTTCATCATGACTTTTAACATAGGAAAAAACATATGAACCAGTTCGATTTGTGTTTTTGATTTTGTCTGTACTGTTTATTCAGTTTTATTTCATTTTACGTTACATTTGCAACAGGTGTTGAGTTTCAAGTTCACATTTTTATTGAATAAAAAAGTTTCATTTAAAAATTCTCTGTGATATTATTAGAAAACCGAACTATTTTTGTTAACATTCTACGTAGCAAGCATTGCTATCTAATTCGGTAGACAAGTCCTTTAAAGCAAGGTAGCGTTTTGATCAATCTTTAGATTAGCCTAATAGGGTCGGTTACATGATATACATATACAGCCAAAATATGCTCATGCAGCTAACTCATATCCATATACAGACAATTCAATATGTATATACAGCCACTCAAGTACATACACAGCTAGTCGATTGTATATATAACTAGGCCGTTTGAATCAATTCATGAATAAATTCTATCTTAATCAATCTATTGTTTGGCCGTTTGTATTAAACTTGCGAAAAAACAATCAAACCAAGTTTATAGCTAATCACTATTACACACGTTACATTTTGTTTAATTTGAGAAGCATAATAATTGTAAGATTATGGGATAAGGATGGACATTTTAAAATACCTTATAATTTCAGAATCGAATCAAATATTTTGTCGAATTTAATTAATTAAATCACGATTATCTGGAAGATATTGAAATTAATACAACGACGTAATTTCACGTAATTTTTTTTATTGTAATGTGTCCCGCAGACACACACATCACTGAAACATAAAATCATCATTCAGTCAGTTCGCTTTATTGTTGAGCAAAGTATAAAGTATGTTTCCTCGGAGAAAATAGTCTTATACAGAATTAGGAATTGCATTTTGAAAATACATGAGCTTCAACATGTGATACGGTGAGGTTTGATTCAAGATCGGTAATAGGAACGTCCCAACGGGTGATGGATGTGATAAAAAGATTCACCAGAGAGAGTGAGAGAGAGAGAGATGTGTGTTCTACATTGGGTAAAAATTATATTTTCAGAGCTGCATCGAGTTTGATGATGCATACTGATGCTCGGATTGTTGAAAGACATATTGACAGAAGGGAAAGTTAAAAATACGGCACGAATAGGATAGCCCATCGTTTTACGAAATTACCCTACATAATGCAGTTTTGTTTAAGTAATTTGGAAATTCTTTATAATGTCATGATATTTGGAAAATAATAAATCTAAGGAATTAAGCATAATATTTACATTCCTACCTCCATCTAAAATTTTAATCTTAGCGTCTTGTTCTATCCCACGATGCGTGAACAGAAATTTCAATTCAATTAAGTCAGTTTGTTTAAATGTTTGAAATACTTTGAAGTCGATGGAAAAAAACAATCGACTATTTCAAATTGTTGGAGCAAATAGTTTGGAGGAAAATTAGTTTACATTAGAGATTAATCAAAATGAAATATTTAAAATAGTTTGTATACGCTGTCCAATAGAATTAAAAATTTGATAGAAAAACAAATCAAAATATGCAGAATCCTCGAAAAAAATAAATCAGACTGTTGCTCATGGAAAATGTCACTACAAATAATCACAGTGTTTAATAAACCTGTAAGTGTTTTTCCAGCAAGTATTTCATGTAACAGCTACAGTCATCAAAATCTAGCTAAAAACGCAAAATTTCATTACTCAATTATTATTATATGAGCTCGCAGGAAATGTTAACATTTTTAACGTCTTTCGTTTTAGTAATAAATGATAATCGGATTAATGGGTTTCATTTATTTTGGTACATCGTGTATATGAATTTCTTTTTCTTTTTTGCAAATTTTTAAGTAAGTTTAAATAAAGAAATAGTGGGAGCAACAAAGCAATTATTTAACATGATGTGAAATTTAGAATACTATAAAATTATATTAACTCTTGTAACGATGACGTAACTGGTTATACCTTTCATCTTTTTTCTCTGCTGATCTATAGCATAGGTTTTCTCAAAGCAACTTCGAAATAAAATACAAACTTAATTAAAAAACATGACGGTTACAAACTTACCAGTACTCGATTACGAATGTTGCTGCTAATGAGCGTTTAAAAATACCTTCCACAAATATTAGTAGAGCATGTAAGGAATACATGGTGAAACATTTTTGAATGGAGAGGACTAACTGAAAAAGTGCATTCACTATAACCAAATGATTACAATAAACAAAATCACGAAAGGTGCCGTCCTTGGCCTTTGTAACTTTTCAGGCATCGATTGACTAAAATTTTATGGCGTAAATAATAATTGAAAAATGTCGAACATCGTGCCTACCGAGGACATTGGCTTACCTGCAAGTCCAATGCTGACATCTAGCGTTTTTAACCAAAGCCTATAATTGTTGCCGCGAAGAGAGAAATTGAACATATTACGATGAACATGAGAATACCATGGCGTATCGATATTTTAATAAGATGTGCCAGAAATGGCACCAAACCAATTTAAAAATTTCTGGTCTCAAATGTTCAACAATATTAGTCATGGTTAGATGTTACATTCCTTCCCATTTTTATCGGATCGTTTTTCGCAAAAAAAAAAAAGAATACTTCACATTGCTGAAAATAATAATTCGTAAGAAAAAGCAATCATAAAAGATCATTAAATATTGCATAAAGTTATCGAACGTGTGATAGTTTGTATACACTGTCAAGCTGGTAATAAAATCTGACAAAAAATTGAAAGTTGAAATATGCAGAATGCTTGAGAAAACTAAAGCTTGAATATCACAGAAAATAGAAAACAATGTCGGAGGCAACCCGCTTTGGGAAAATTATGAAGTTTATTATCAAAACAAATAAAAGTTATAGATATTTTAGCTTATACTTAATAATAGACACCCTTTTTTTACTATATTTATTTTGTCCTATTCTATTGTCAGTTTTGACGAAAATTTAGATATTTTCAAAATATGACGCAAACTGCAGGTCCAAAATATTTTAAATTTAGAGCAATAAACAGGATTGTTCATGGGACATATTTTTCCGTTTCATTTCACCCCATAACGTCATGCCTTCCCATCCCATCCAAGGGGACGTTACTCATAAACATGCCTGGCCATAGTTGAATAGTTCGTTACCATCTGACAAAATATATCACGGAAATTGAGGAGAAAATGAGAATAAGAAGTCGCTTAAAAAGGTTAACTATATAAAATTGTAAGAAACGACATTTTACTGTTATAATAACTTTTTTGTATAGAGCATTATACAAATACAATACTTTATTTGCAAAAAATAAATGAACGTCTTATCGTTTCGATTAACTATATAAATGAAAAAACACGACCTGTGAGGATGATATTAAATTTCTCGTATAAAGCAACAAAATACTTAAGTTGAAAAAATATATATATACAGTGCAGTATTATTGTTTTGAATAGTAGCAGCATACTTTTCTATCAACTTGACGGTGAAATTTATAATTTCAATTTTGATTAACCGACCATTTCGTGCTTGGCAATTTTAGAGTTCTAATGTGTGTTTCATATCCATGTTATGAGTCGAACAGGGAACCTACGTAAGTCAGGCTCGTTTACAAACAAAATAAATACCATAACGTTTCAGCAAAACACATGACATTTTCCACACAATAAAAAACAAATTTTTGCTCAGGAGAAAACATGTAAAATACGCCCTTGAATGACATCTTAGCAATGGAGTTGCGTGAGCATTAACGTGCGTAAACAAGGTTTAATGCGTTAGTTTGACACGGAATTGCTAACCAACGTGAATGCATAGGTTTGGTGTTGTGGAGGTGTGTTAGGTCAGGGGTCATATGAGAGAAACACAAGATGTCAGGAAAGAGTGATCAATTCGGACTATTCGATAGGAGAGATTTCATTCTACTCATTGCGCCATTATTTTGATCTCGACATTCTTGAATCGACAGATTGGATGAAAACAAATTTTGTTTCATGATTCTGTTGATAAATATAATGCAATAACGCTACTTTCTGAACAGTAATGGGTTTCAGTTTTGAAAACATGTTTTTGTTTGTAGAGAACTCAATAACACCAATCGTCATATTTAATAGGTTATGTCACAAAGTGAGCTACACATTAACACTTGGTTATTGGTATTGGTATTGGTTATTTCTACGCTCCTGGAGGAATAATTTTTGAATCGTTTGGCAAAAATACTTTGCATACCGTGACAACAGAGCGCCCGCGAGATTTGAACTTGTCTTGATTAACAGTACATTGGAGGCTATTTGAAGCCAATTTGAAAATACCTACTCATCTAATTCAATCACAAGACTCGTGTGGCCCTGAACTGCTCAAACGTTCATGATAAATCTGATGCATAACTTTTGAAACACCAAATATAACGCTAGTATTTAGCTGCGGTGTACGTTACCCATTTGCTGGAGTCGTCTTACGTCTAAAACAAAAACAAAAAGAAAGGGTTCGCTGATTATCGCGATATTCCAAGAAGGGTTCGGACAAACCCCGTGCGCGTCCATTACTGTTCATTACTGCCAAGGCATGTCCAAAACATGTCTTGGCTTGGATGTTGCAGAATATTAGAAATTAAGTCATTTTTAAGATGTAGAAGAATTTTTAATAGCATAGAAAAAAAATAAGGTACAAAATTGGGAACTTCAGTAGTGTATGTACCAGGTTAGGGTTAGGCCATAATTTTATTCCGATCTTCCTTATTTTGTTTCTTTTACAAGTTTGGGGACTGTGTCTGACACGTCTGTGTTAGACGTGTGAATATACCCCTGCCCATAGGTTTCAGTCTCTGTAAACAACTTGATGTAAAGTAGGCGAACGAAGTTACCTCCACATCGGCACGTACACTTCTGAAGCGACCAAAACTGTTTACAACATTAATTGGAGAGTAAATTTTTAAATTCGACCTAATCTAACCATATCCCTCACCCTTTATTTCGTTTCTTTCTCAAATTATGATTGACTCAATTTTGAAAATTCTTAACTCTCAAAGAAATCGTTGGTAAATTCATCCAAACATATCACAAATAGTTTTTTTGATTCGGACGATCAAAGCCGAGATAATGAGCAGTACGCGATTGCGCTAAAATATGACGCACTCTTGTGAACTAAGCCTTCAGTAACGGAGCTTTAATCTCCAACGGTGGAACGCTGAGTGGGCGTCATTAGTCAGTTGACGCCTATGTCTTGCCATTAAATCTAATATTTACAAAAATTTTCAAAACAACTTCTGACCCACGCAATGACAATGATAAAATAGAATCACATTTCAACGCAGTTTTCATATTATATATTTGAACACTGAATTGTTGATTTATTATTAAAACGTCGACCTGTTAAAACGTTGCCAAGATACGGTGTTCGCTGTTTTTGCAAAAGATGCTTTTGCAAAGACCAAACATACGACAATAGGTATGTTTTTGAGTTCAAGACGTATTCAGGAACGTCAGAGGTCGAAGACAGAATAAAGCAATCGTGGATTTACGTTTCAGATCGTCGACATACAAACAAACACGACCAATGGATTAATAGGTTATCATGATTTCATTTCATTGTAGTCTTGTTTTTATATCATCGTCTTTCACAAAGTAATTATTCTTATGCGTACAAAAGAAAAATGTCACAAACACTTTCAAATGACTACGATGAATGAATCATATTAGTGTATAAATCTAATTCTCTCGAAAACACCATTGCATTTCAACGGAAGTGTGAAATTTTTTTTTTTTTTCATTTTTTATTATAATATATTAAGGTTTCCTACCGATTTTTGAATAAAAATATGCAAGTGTGCTTCAACGTCATACACTACAACCTGAGGTAATACCTATTGCCTTAGTAAATAAAAATAGAAAACTGTCAAAATTTATTTATTAAATAAGTTACCATTACATTGTATTGTGAATTATGACATAACAGAGTTATGAAATTTATATTATTCCGTGAAAATACCAATGAAATGAGCAGCATATTTTACTGGCGTCAAAGTTTTTGTTTCAATCAGATATCTCGAAGCTACGAAATGCCATCGCCCGCTCAATAAATTGACATTGTGACATTCTTTTGATTACGATCAGTAGCAAAAGCTTTTAAGCTATTTACATTCGTATTTACGTCAATCAAGAAAAGTGTGCGTAGATCGAAGCTTTGTGTTCCATGGGTCCTATTGATCTATCATAAGCATTTAGAGATCGAGTTATTGCAATCGGATTAAAAAAAAAATTTCATACTGATTACGATAAATCACTAATGTGAGGCAACTTTTTAAGCTTTCTAAGTCGTATAGCAGCCACTCGGTGGCGTGACTCTACCTATTTTCGGTTTTATTTTATCTGAAATGACAATTGATTAACGGTTGTGTGGTTACATTACCAAGAACATGTTTAAATCAAATGAATTTCTCTTCAAAAAGAAAACAATTACTGTTCAACTTGACATGTTATGACTCATAATAAGGTTTTATCAAGTTTCATTGGTTTCGTTCTCATTTTTGTGTGGTCAATTTTTTTTAAGTTAACTAAACTATGTAATGCGACCAAAGTACTAAACAACCTGTAAGGCATACTTTCACGTGACTTATATTTCACGTGACAAATATTTTCACTGAATCTTGCTAGTGTGTAGCAATTATGGTTTTTAATAACCGCTGGTTTCAAAACTATGAAGGCCCACCCCAAATGTCCCTTGCATTTGAAGGCATAAAAAGCAACATATGGAACAATATAGGTTGTTGGACAAATATGAAACATATTTCACATCTTGATTGTAAAAAAAAATTTTTTTTAATTCATTTCCCCACGTTTGGTAAAAAAGTACGACATTGTGTGCTGCAGATACAACAGTTATTTCCTTATTTCTACTTTTCAATCGCAACTTAAAACTTCAACTTCATTTCTCAAAGCGCATGTGATTACATTATTGCAATGGAATTTTAAAATTTGTCAGTTTTCGTGAACGAAAAACTAAGAATTTAGTGACGTTTCTAAAGTAACAGAAACTACATGAAAAGAAATCTCGGAGTCATTATTTTCGAATCTATTGTTTTTTTTACTTAATAGCAATTGTTGAACCATCAAAGAATCTGGCTTCAGGCGCGTTTGACAGTGTAAGACTATTATAGATTGCACATGAGAAAAGAATTTGTTATTGCAATAAAAATGTATATAGCATTCAACGTTTTACATCTTCTTTTTTCGTTTCGTGGTTGTTCATTTGTAAGATTGGGATTTTTCATTTGTGATCGAGTATGTAGATAGCTAACATTTCGATGTATTTTCGATAATTGAATATTGTGATATGTGAGAGACACACGGATAATATTAGTTTTGTTTATACCAAAACATAGTGACTAACTCGAACCCACATAAACTGATTTGATCAAAATGAAAATTTCACATTAGTCAGAGGAATAATGATGTTGCATCAGCATGTTTTAATCAAGAAAATCAGTCAATCTATTCACTGAAAGCAATGACTCAACCCACAAACTTGTTGTTCATTTAGTTTCCTAATTGCAATATTTTTTTGAAATTTATGTACAAAAGGTCTGAAGATAAAATATTATTTTTTGAATGAACACAATTTGGACAGCAAGAGTTTATATCCAAATTAGATATTCACATATTTGAAAATGTATGACACACAACTTCGTAATCAAATGCAAACTTAGCGGTATTCATATTTTTCAATCTGCACCACTAGATCAAAAGTTGTAGAAAAAAAATAAAAAATTGTCAAATATCAAAGTTTGTCAAAACATTTTAGTTTTTAGTTTTTCAAACCCTTGTGTAAAAATCTTTTACATTCATTTATGGTTGTACTAAACTCATAGTTCATGAAATTAACCACGCCCCACAATATTTGGTACTCCGCAGCTATGTGTAGCAAGATGGCGGACACCGGAGTATGTGTACCAGGTTAGGGTTAGGCTATAATTTCAGGTACAGATACTACGTGAGTCACTTAGCTAGTCCCCGAACTCGTAATAGAACTATCAGTGATGCCATTGGAAATGGCTGTAAGTAGTTTCTAATACCCATCTCAAAAATAAAATCCCGGATTATCTAAAAATCAAGCGCAAGTATTCCGGATTAACGATTATAAAATTATTTTTATTTCATATAAACAAGTAAAAACAAGAAAAACAAGCAATTTTGTGACTATACTTTAAAAAGTAAATAAAACTTGACTAGCGTTCTACTGATATCAACAAGTCTGCGAATTCATCCAAAATGAAACCACAATTTTCGGTTTGAATGCAAAATACCATATATTTAATAAAATCCGACGTAGAAAATCTCTTTTCAGATTATTCATATTGAAATACAAACTTCATTGCTAATAAATTTCACACTTCGGTTCTCTATTGACGTCATTGGAATTGACATTTAAAAAAGAAAGATTGATTATACACATTTTTATAAGTATAAGCACATGCGAAACTGTGAAGCTGAATCGTTATGTTATATTCAACCATTGGATTATCTGTGTGGTGGGTACTTATAGCTTAATTTTAGCAGAGTGGTCACTAATTGCAGTCTACTTCCGGTGAAAAACGGAAGTAATATTTGTACTCCATCAATCAACCAGGAAATACACTGAAAACCGGAAATAGATTAATTTATTCTGCACGACTTTATCGGTAGTTTTCCTGGTAATACAACATTCGTGACAACTAAATGTTATATATTCAATCGAACTACAATTTGAGTGCGCTTCCATATATTGCTTAATTAAAGCATGAAGTTTATTATGTTGTACCTAGTTGTGGAACAGTAGCCCCTATTGTAGTTTGAGCGATACTTTACCCAAATAAATCTATAATGTGATGAATGTGGAGAAAGGCGATTTTTTCCAATAACAATAACCTCGATAACTGCAAGATTTACAACAATAACGCCCTATAGTTCCATTTTGTATCCAAGAAACGACGCTGAGCTACATGACAGAAGCCAGTTTGAATGGAAACGGGTAGCGTCGGTTGTAACCAGAATGATATAAAAGAATGCGACTTGAATAAAGCATAGAAAATATATTTATTTAGCGCACATTTTGCTCCATATGTTTGCTTAAAATATCTTTGTATATTTTTGAGTTAGTATACATATTTGTCACACGTTCTTCAGACGCTTTTATTAAGACAAATTCATCTCTCATTCAGAAGAGTTTCAACATTAACTTACAGAGTATAACACATATAAAATTTGACAGAGGCAATATAATCTTACTCGTGTTTTAAATCAATTAAAAAGGAATCCACAGTTTAATACATTATGTGATTGACAATGTTTGCATTATCGTCTTGGCGGTGGACATGTGCTCCTGTCTCTTTCTTGCAAGGCGAAAAAATTAACCTGGATTTTGTCAAGAATTCCTGAAATTTCGCGGACTTTCTCTAATGATAGGTCATCAATGCCTTTACGTATTTCAATATCAATGATGGGGTGATCTGAAAATTGATAAACGATTTTGAATTAAGATTTGAACTACAGTAAATGAATAAATAACATATTAAATAATGAAGTCTCCTCAAATCCATTTTAATATTATTAGGTTATTATAAAAAACATCGTTTAACAAATGTGTATATTAATTATATTCACCTTCAAGGCATGTATGAATAATCATATAAGTATCATAGTCAGTTGCAATATGTCCATCAACGTGGATTTCTCCTGAAAAGAAATTTGAACTTGAATGAATTTTTTCCCCAAACTAATTTTAACAACCAAATAATCAAATCACTGTTTAATCAAAAATGGTTTTAACAAAATAACTTACTTTCTGAAACACAATTTTCCCAGCACATTGTAGAAAAAACTATTCTTTCGATTGAGCCGATTTTGGGTCTTGTCCTATAAATAATAATAAATAATTAGCAAATTTTACTATTTGAATTAAATAAATGTATTTTAAGTTCTTAGACACTTACTCATGTATAGTTTCTTGAGCGTAAAAAAGCTTATGAATTTTACTGATGCCGAATATTCTCATATTAAAGCACTCAAAGTTATCGTATCGAGAATCGCGTGAATGATATGCCTGCCGCCATTCTCCATTCAGCTGTAAAAGCAAGAAGATTTTTTGTATCAAAATTAGAAATTATTTTGACATTTATATATATATTGAACTCTGAAACTAAATAAAATGTGATTTACATTTTTCTAACTGCAGTTTTGCATAATAAAAATCAAAGTCGGCCAATGAAAATCAGCAAAAAAAAACAAATAAAACTCAACTGTTAAAACCCGATGCATTTTTTACAAAAAATATCAACATTAATGGTTTGACCAAAAATCAGAAAAAGTAGTCTGTTAATGAATTTTCACTACACTTAACAAAAGTGATGTTTTACGAATATACATAACTTAAGTAGCCTAAGTATAATATATACACTCACCCGACTATGGTCAACATCACTCTGTAAAACGACATCGTTACATGTATGTGCCAAAGATTTGTCCATACAAACAAGAAGAACAGTAGAAAACATACAGAATTTGAAGATTTCCATCGTAAGCGCGGACGAAGTTTTAAACAACTTTTCTGAATTACCTGCTAGTCTTGTTTCCTTGCTGATAAACTACTAAACTATACAACAACGCTTTTCATTTATATACTTTATAATATCTCGACTTACGTACAAGTTTACACCACCTGTGAAAATACATGATTTCTAATAAACCACTAAACTTTTTCTATAGCAAGTTATCTCGTTTTTGTTTAATGCGTCAGAAAAAAGCGCAGACGTATAAGCTGAACTTGAAACTGTGTTAAAAGTAAAACAAGTTTTTTTAAACATGAAAAAAAAATTCCGTATTCGGTATTCGTCACTAACCATGACATGATTATCGCTTGTCATTCACCACAACCTACGAACAAAAGTATGAAGAGCAAACTTGAATTTGTTAACGCGCTTTCATCGTTAATTCATTTCAAAGTAAGTGCAGAATAATGCAAGACGTATTTCTTATTATATACTAAGCCATACACAGGCGACCTACATTTAAATTCAACGTGGATGGTCTTTTAATGAGGGTACTAAGACTGCTCATATTGTTAAGGCCAAAAATTTAATTTGATAGTAATATATTTCCGACATACATTTTATACTAAAACATCTATGAAAACACTTTACATAAAGTTACTTTTTATCAAATAAAAATGTAGTTTTAAGGAATAGGATGAAAGACGTCAAGTCGCATCATTGTGGATATCATAGGCATCAAAATCAAATGGCACCAGCGTCAAAATATACGCGTGTCAGAATACAACGCGACCGTCACTAAAATAATATTGACTATGAAGTCGTGCAACCTTTTCACGTCAATCCCACAAGTCATGGTATACTCGTGATACTATATACGCAAAAAATCATAGTAATATTGAAAATATACGTTAGTTCGTATCATTACGTATAGTATGTACGTCCAAATTTATTTATTCCATGAAAACATTAGGATTTATTGTTGGTAAGTAAGTAAGTAAGCCAGACAATCGAGAAAAGTTTCAAAATGTTAAATATTTCGAATATCTTTCGATCAATTAAACAGTAAAATGAATAGTTTAAATTCATAGTAATTTTGTGTAATTTTCAATAAATTTGGGCAAACGGGACTATAATAAAAATGACAAATATATATGTATACTTATTAATGTATCCACTTATTTTACGTTTTCGTTGAAGGTGATAGATTATTTCACCTGTCAAGCCCATCTGGTTTGAATTCTATAAACAAGTTGATTAGTTCTCGTATACAGAACTGATGAGAAATTTTCAAGATTTTGGGTGGTGCAGCGATGACATTATTTACGTTAAATATAAACAAACCGAACCTATAACTAGAAATTGGTGAATGAATGAGTCATCGTTTTTAGCTCTTCAGGCATAGACCACATCTTTGGGCATAGACCACGTCTTTGGGCAAAGACCACATCTTTGGCAAAATCCGCATTCCATGGTTGTATCAAATCCGACTGCATATGTTTACTCTCACAGAAGTAAGCCAGGTCTGATCTTTGATTTGAGTTAAGTTTAGAACTTGGTGTATATATATTTGAGCACTTTTCTCTCATATGGTCGTGTCAAAATAGCCAGTCAGTTTTGCTTTCAAGGTGTAGTCTGTAGAGTGTGGACCACTGAGCGCAGAACGATAACTTTTATTAGTTGATTTCAACGTTTTAATAGGATTAATATGACTATAACTCGGCTATAATTCTTCTTTCCTCGGGCCTCGGGCTCTCTGTTCTGGAAATTTAAACCCGATGACAAGCGCGAATATCACTTAAATTGTAAAAAGTTGGCCCCTTGACATGCTTATATTGAACAAATAAGTTCGCTATTCTTTTTTCAGCTTGAGAATATATCTGGATATATATCCGGTGTTAAAAAAGTCAACTGCGATGGCGAACGGAAAACACCTGAGCACCCGCCTTGTGGAAAGACAGCACCGTCATTACTTCGTACCCGCCAACGCGATTAGTCCATTGTTATAGTTTTTCATGAATAAGCAGGCAGATCCCAAGTAGCCAAAGGCAAAAGCCTCACATTGGAAGAAGCCGCCCTATTTGCTGCAACAGCAAGATAAAAACGCGAGCATCTATAAAGATACCACTGCTACAGTTCTATGTTAAATCCAAAAAGCCGTAAATCTGAGGTCCGACAAAGAACGTTTCTTGAAGTGTTCATAGTTTTGCTCTGAGCTTACAGCTATCATTTTCTGTCGAGCCAATAAACATGTTTGGATTCATCCAAGATGAAAAAAAAATATTTTTAATGACAACAACCTAAATTGTAAGGTTTGGATAGAAATACCTCGAGGTATAAATAGCTAAAATCAATTGTGTGGATCTTGTGTTTCCACTTAGTTTCTGTTACCGGACTACATTTAATCTATATTTCTTCTTAATCGAAATAACATCTGTATTTATCATAAATCTTTTTAGCAACAATGAACTCCATATACTCTCTCTTCTATACTGTATGAGTGGCTAATTGTAAAAGTGATTCTTTATTGGCCTGCTGGCATAAAAAGTTCAGTTGGGCAGCTCGGCGTCCTGCGAGGCGAATAGCGTTATGTTCCCCGGCAAAGTATTGCGCCTAAGGGCATATAAGGGCGTGGTATCAATTAAAACGGGCAACGATGTTTCTTCTGAGGTGAATCAGGGTTGATACACATAATATGATGTCTGATCAGTCTTTTGTTCGTCCGCATCATAGTCATACTATCCCATACTTTAGGAAGTTGAAATATTATGTCAAGTTTTTTAAAAAGCTCACTCCATTCTACAAAAACCTGTGTGATTGATAATAGTTATTTGTTCCAAATTTCGAGACACATAGCGGAACACTAACGGTCCTCATGAAAGTTATCTTCATAATGCTTGAGACTTATGAAGGAAACGATGTAGTAGGGCACGATGCTACACTCTTATCACTAAGCTTCCTCAAAATTGCTCTGTGAAGCCTCTGAAAACAGTCAAATGACAATAAAATCGGAGATAATGAACGGAGGAAAAAAAACGATAAAACAACTTAACTTGAAGTTGGATAAAAGACCCAGGCATCTGGCAGCATCTTCCGTTGGTTAAGTGCGAAACTTGCCGCAGATAGAAGTAGAGTACCAGTCATCAAATGTCGCTATGAGGGTTTTAAAAATCCTAAATATCACAGAAAAATATTTTAACTAGCAACCGATACCTTTAATTTTATTTAGCATTTTTCTACAGATTGAAAAAAATCTTTCCACTGTATCGTAAATTCCATGACTGGAGTCCTAGCTAAAAAAAACGTTATTTACAAGAATGTTGACGCTTTTTACCATTGGAATTCACTTCAACATAAAGAATATTATTGAGGTGAATGCTTATTTGTGAAATTTTAAATCAATTTATAGAGTTGCGACCTTGTTCAAAAATGACACGTCTCTTGATGATGCAAAAGTGATAAAATTTTTAACAGAATCACTCGAAATTGAGAAAAAGCTGTAAGTTAGTTGAGTCAACTCCGTTACGATATATGCAATGCGACTTAAGGTGACCAACACCATAGATTGCTATATTAGGAAAAACCAATACTTTTCACGTATACAAATTCTTCAAGAAATACTAAAATCTAAATGATGCGGTACATAGAAAATTCTGTCATTGCAAAATTGTTCCATCCTCGTTTTCACTCGTGACGTCAATCTACAACATATTTAACTCCACACTTCCGAAAACACGTTTCATGGTAGATATATTAGAAAAGATAATTTTCGGTGTCAAAGTGACTTTGCTGACAAATGATGGCGGGAAAATAATTGCCAGCTGTCAAACAGTTTCGATCAATACATGTCAACATTTGAAGGATCATGCTCGCACTTGTATTCAAGACATTTTCAGCACTGAAATATTTTTAGAAGATGAATATTTTGGAAAGTTTTTTGAATATTTCTCATACTTTTTTATGCGCATCGAAACTTGAATATTGTAATATTAAAAAGGGAATTTTTTTACTCCAATGACTAAAATTAATAAATATTCATTTTGAGTTTTGTGCTGACTCAATTAGACTTCCAGTTGCAAAATAAAATAGTTCCAAGGCCAAGTACCATATCAGTCTACCACCTAGTTTCTCAATCGGCGAGGAATTCGTCACCCAGAGAGGAATTTGTCATTCTTAGGGAGGAATTTTGGGCGCTCCCGTAGTATGTGCACCAAGATGGCGGACACCTGAACATAGTATTATACCAGGTTTGGGTTAGGCCATAATTTTATTCCCATTTTCCCTATTTTAGTTATATTACGAGTTCGGGGTATAGTCAAGTGACTCCTGCAGTATTTGTAAATTATGGCCTAACTCTAACCTGGTACACATACTACGTCCCGGTGTCCGCCATCTTGGTTCACATACTACGGGAGTACCAAATTTCGTTTTGAATTTAAATACTTATTTATGCACGGCTTGCACACATATTATAAATTACTGTATAAAACTGTATAAAATTATTAACTGTATAAAAGCGAGAGTGCGACTTTCCTATAACTAGCTAACGATCAATTAAGATTGAATGAATAAAGAAATTGTTTACTAATAGTGGGGAAGAAATAAAAAGTTACACAACATGAGAAAGGAGCAACTTAACAAAATAAGTTGGGAATCACTGGTCTACCATATTAATGCATAACGTTGTGTGATGTTATGCACGTATTTTCAGTCAGAATGATCTAATGAAATTGGAAATTCGATTTAATTATAGTCTTGGGATTTCAAAACGTGCTGTATGTCATACATTGGACTTGAAATAAGCTGAAGATATCTTTTGGAAGACTGATGTCATCACAACAACTTAAGTATTACCGTGAGTGCACATAATACGATGTAGAGACCCGTTTATATATATTTAAAAATGCTAAGCAATAAATATCTTGAAATTTCGAAAACATATAAAGCCTAATATTAAGAATGCAAATCAAGAGACCCAATGCTCACATACAATCTGATATTCGCTCGATCTGAAAAATGCATTGCATTGCATGCATGCCTTCATTTCATAGTCATTGTAAACTGGAATAAATTCAATTACATCCTATTTGTAAACAAGACAGCAATGCTCAAATATATGAGCACGAAAGCCAGAACGAAATAACTTATATGCAATCTTTTACAGTAGCCTACCAGTACCGAAGTATACGCGACATCGCCTGACCATCAGATAGCAGCAAACGCGGAACCGCCACAAGGTGCGCAATTTTGAACTAATGGCGTCATCGCACACAAAATATAAATACAATAGAGCCCACAAAAATTTTTGAAAGAGTAATAGCTGCCTAGCAAAAAATACAATCTTCACCGACTGGAAATTTCGAAGCAACTATTCCGGTAGTTAATGAAAAAAGCGATTAATTTCATAACAACAAGAAAAATAATTCTAAGAACAGCAACTTAATAACAGAACGATCTGTACGTCCATTTTGTGTCCAAAAAAAGGATGATACGATTTATAACTCCTTGATTTCCATGCTGAATACTGGCGGTATAGAATGTTACACAATAGGGCGGATAGTTTTAAAACCATACAACTATAGCGTAAATGACCTACATATATATTTGCAATAGAAAAATTTGCACATTTGGTATTATTGATTTGAAGAGTGTGTGAAACATTCAACAAATTGTCATAAAATTTCATATTACTGAAAAATTTAGAAACCACATTCATTATGTGAGTTATTCTTTTTCACATATTTAATAACAGTTACGGTCGATCTGCTTTATTAGCGATTGAATGGGATTTCACTCGTCCATAATATTTTTGGTTATCCTTTCCCTTCTTCTGTTTCATTGAAATATCGGAAATAATTATATTACGTTTCGCGTCTATCTTCTTATTAAATAGTTTTGACCCAAGGATAATCTTACATGTAGTACATAGAAAACAATTGCGATATAATCACTTTCCTTTTATTTTTTGTTGAGTTAAATTTACTTTATTTTGAAAATTAAAAAAAAAAAACTGTTAAAAAAAAAGTAATATAAAAAGTGCCAATTTGCGCATGTTTTTTGTGATAGCCATTATGACTGTATGGAATTGGGAGAGTATAGCTGAATCATGGAGTGTCACTAAAATAATATTGATGTTGATGGGTACTGATAAAACTGTTACGTCAAAAATGTAATGTGGCCTATGAGAAAAGACTCATATTACGTCAAAGCATTACGAAGTAAAATTATACCTTTAGTCAACAAGGAATCGATGAACATATATTTTAGATTATTTAAACAAACGTCACTCAACATCATAATGAAACGTCATCAGTTTAACTCACATTCAATATCTTAAGCTGACATCTTGAAAACATTACGAAAAAAACAAAACACTGAAAATTTATAGTTGATTCAATACAGGAAATATTTTCTGCCATTTTGCGTAAATGAATGAATAAATGTGAATAAGGAAAAAAAATTATTTAATATTTGAAATTAGCTGTACAACAACGGTATTGTACCGTAAACAAAATTCAACAAGGGCAATTCTTTGGCAACAAGGGCTAAAGTGTATAGATACATATAGCGAATCTTACGTGAATCAGCCCATCTTCGCGCTTGAAACTCAAAAATGTTGCAATGCTAAATTTATCAGTATTTATTTATTCATTCAATTTATTAATAGCGTAATCAGTGCATCGTCATGTCTTCATACCCTGTTGTGTGTGATGACGTCGAAATGACGTCAGTGTTTGTGAAAATCATCAAAGCTCCAGATTACCCCGATGGTCTAAGGAGAAGATATTTCGATTTCTATCATATTTAGTTTCTATTTCTGAATATGTAAACACAGTTCCACAGTTACCTAAAATTAGCCACATTGATG